CACCTCCTCCTCATGCTGGTCACCAGCCTGGTCACACACCGCTGTCAAATACTGCAAGTATAGAAATAAGAAATAATTATTACCATAATTATTTCTCCATGCAGGACCAATGTGATCCAGCCCATGCAGCTCGGTATGGATGGGAAGATGAGAGAGATGACTCCTGAGGATCTGCATAAACTGACCCACAATCCTTTGTTTCAGCCAGAAGAGCCCATAAATTCTGACAGTGAAGATGAGGCTTAGCAAACACAGAAGCATAAATGCAGAAACAGATTCAACTCCTGTGACAATTGTGGAAGAGCTGTGTCATTATTTTAAATACTCACATCACATATTATACCACCACATATATTCTGATGGGAGGTGAAGCTTACGGAAAGTTAGCATTTGTTTAGTCAAAGTGAAAACACAGCATGGAGTACACGGGGCGGCTTAAAGGACCATATCGCTGGTGTTATGAGTGCTATTCTGTCAATTACAAATCACCAACTACTGCTGACCATTTTCCAAAGAGTACCATTAGTTTCCTTCCTCCAATATTCATTTCAGTATACCACGAAAACCACTGTGCTTAGGGGCAAAGCTCAGCAAATGTCAAAAAGAGCTGAAAATTCTTGACTCAAAAGCTAGTGTGGGGTCCCCTGGATTTTAAGTTGTTGAACCTTAAAAATAACTTCCAAAGCATAGATTTCTTGAATGATGTCATCTGTCAGGGGACAACCTGTGAAGGGTTTCCCTAAATAAGACCTTTCCACCATAAGCAGGAAATTTCTCCAGAATGCAGGTGCACATGCTCATCATCAGATCATCTTCTGACTTTAATGAGATCAGTTACACATAATGTTTCACCACAACAACAGTATGCCTGAGCTCTCTGTTTATGTGCAAGTCATCTTTGATTGGCATTTATCAGTCACCTCCACACATACTGTATCCTTTAACTTTTGAAAAAATGACATTTGAAAAACTCAACAGCACCATTTCTTCCCAAAAACAACATCCCAGTTAATGTTACTCAGGATAATCCACGGACCTCACTGTCAACAGAAATATCTACAGCAGAAACAGATTTGTGCTCACAGTTTGTCTCCATATGAAGTTAAACATTTTTAAGGAACATGTCTGTGAAGAAATGGTCAGTTATTCAAGATTAGAATCAATCAAATCAACTAAAGATACTCAAAGATGTTTTGCCTCTCATCCAAAAGGCTTCTTCAGTTTGTAGGAACATTTTTACAGAATGTTGGAACTCTTTGTGATTAGATGAAGACATGTCATTTTACTTACTTTTACATGAGAGCAAAGGAAAATAGCCAAAGAGCTGTTCTTCAGTTTATAATGATGGAATCAACTGTATCTTAAAAAAATTAAACTATGAACTGTAGATGTCATAAAGCCCTTCCGATGTCTTATTTTTTAGAATTTAAATGTGAAGCTGCAGATTGATAAGTTATGATTTTAGAGTGTAGATGAAATATTGTTATGCAACAAAATAAAATCTGAAACACATTATTTATTAAATGTATTACTTTATATTGTTAATGTATAGCTGCTAACTCTATTGTGTACTGTAATATACATTAAATGGGTTTAAACAACAGAGTTGTCTTATGGCTTATTTCTGATGCAGGTATTGTGCTAATTTGGTACATGCTGTATGGAGCCAGGACAGGGACTCATTCACATTGAAAACAAAAGCTGAACTGAAAAAGGAAGCACTGGCAAAACAATGCCAATAAAACCGGAAAAAGTTGTACTGGCAGTTTTTATTAATTATGTAATGAAAAAGAACTGGTAAGAAAGAGAGTATCGCTAAAGAACTGAACCAATAAAGAATATCAATACAAGTGTGTGAATAAAATCCTAATGATTTCTCATAAGATAATGTCCTGACTATCTCCGTGTCCTGCTTTTAAAATCTGGCCCAATGGAATCTGTAATTGAATAGCCCTGCACTAGACTATCAGTGAGAAACATACATAGGAAGTAAAACAAGGCAGCGACACTAGTGGTAGACAAACTACAAAGTGAAACAGGAAACACGTTGCACAGCTGGTTCTCTTCCTGGAAAGGCCTCCACTGAACCATCTGGGATCAAACTGTTCATGAAACCTTTAGCAGGTTATAGAGTTGTCAATAGTATTCGTCTCTTTGCCATCCACAATCACAGGGCACTAACGAATGGTTTAATGGCACACTGAAATCTATGATTTGAATGTTTGTGGAATCTCATTAAGCCAATGAGTCCGTTCCTTTCCTCTTGCCATTGCTGGTTGTTTGTCAATCGAGACGCTCCAAACTGAATCTCTTAGTTTGAATGGGCACAAGCTTATTTTTGGTCATGAGGTAAAAAATAAGCTCTGCCCAGCTCTCACTTCAGAGTCACGAGTCGATTCCCCAATGCCAGTGTCTTTTTTTCTCACTGTAGCAAGTGGCAATCAGAGCATCTGAAAGTCCCATGGCAACACAAAGCGTTATGTGGATGGAAAATATGGTAATGTATAGTGGCTTTCTTCAAACACAGATGGCAGAGGCTGCCATACAAGGTGCTCATCAGGAACAGAAATTTCACATTCACACGCCAGGCGCAGTATGTATACTTATGATATATATATAGGATGAAGTCAGGTATATTGGGACATCAGGTAATTTGGGACAGCATTTCTTCTCCCCTGAAAGGTTTAAGTCAAACTTACTGGTGCTTAGACCTTGCTGTGAATGCACATAACTAAAGTCACATGACATAATTTATGTGTCATCACATGGGGGTATGTGGTCTGCATCAAACAAGAAGTTGATCCCAAAAAACAAGAGTTAACAGAAATGACATAGGCTTCAGATTGATTTTGATATAAGGGTAAAGCATTTGATGACTAATATACTGTAGATTTAAATGATATACAAAACATGTATGGTGTAATAGTGTACCAATATACAAAATTTTGTTTACATTTTTTAAATTAGGACATTTTCTTGCTGTCCCAAATTACCAAATGTGTTGTGGTAATTTGGGACAGCATGTTTCAGGTATATTGGGACAGTGTTAAAAGGCTATTAAAATTAAATTTGGATTGTGGATTCATAAAATCAGATATATAGAGGGACCACACATGTATGTCAACACAGGCCCACAGAGATGTAACCTACAGGCAACTACAACAAGTGGATAGATTAGGATGCTATTACTAATGATGCTAATCCCCCACATTATCTGTAGAAGGCCCTATCATTTGGACAAATTAGCCTATTCCAACAATCTTCTGACAATGGTCAACAATAAAGCAAATGTTTACTATGTTTAATGTAGCAGTTCTGTAACATATAATTAAGTCTAATCAAGAAGCAATGCTGATGCATGCAGACGTTTTGCTACTCACTTTGTTTAATCTGTAGATTTATTCTTATGATGAATTTAAGGTCTGTTGCAGAATACCATCAAGAAACAGATAAATAAATAAAATAAACATGTTTGACAACATGTTGGAGTCTTTAATGATTTTAACATCTTAATCAATAGTCTGTTGACATTTGCTGATGCAACAATGAATTAAGCTATGACAACAAATGATAGGCTAATACATAATATCATGTAACTTGAGACATGTATTTATTTTATTTTTACTTTATTTATAGTTAAGAAATAAGTTTAAAATACTTTTTGAAATATGTCAATAGGGTTAATGGCTAGGTCACTAATACACTAATAAAACTTTGCCGCAAATTACCAAACACGTTCCTGAAAATGAGTTTTGTATCAACTACAACAAAATGGTGAACAAAGCTTTGTCAAAATAATGTACACACTTAATTTCTTCACATAAAGAAAGCAGACATCTTGAGGAATTCAGAAATATATCATATGTTGAGTTACTTTTTTAAATTTATGACAAGAATGAGATCACAAGATAGAATTACAAAAACTGTCCCAATATACCTGAATTCACCCTATATGTATGCAACGGAAATTACTATTGCAATTTCCATTGCAATCCATTACATACTATATTTTACCAACCACAATTTGTTAGTCAAACCTGTGTGAATCGTCATCTCATTAATTCAACGTCATGCATGGCCGTCTTCGGAAAACTGTTTTCGAGCTTGGCAAGTAAATTTCTGAACCGGGACTGTTTTTCGAATTACAAGTTGTGTCTTTCGTTTCATGTGTCACAGTAATGATTAATCTACAGGTTATTTAGTGCTTTAACACCCTGAAGTTTGCCCTGTCAGAGTTTTTCAGCGTAAAAATAAATCGTGGTGATATGTCAGGTATTCCTGTCACAGTGGCCACAAGTGTTTCTTTTGTCCCGCTGTTAATGTGGTGTCTTTCTCTGTGTTGCAGCATGTATGGAAACATGTTTATGTTAGTAAACCAACAGATTATGCCATGAATGACGGTCAGAAAGCCAGATGTTTTCATGCACATTTTGGAATTACGTATAAAAACAGCTGGATAGAAACATGACTATTTTTGCATTATTTTGAGAATTTATATTTATGTTATGAATATTCATTTTCATATTGTTCATATTGTTGAAGAAATGTTTTATAAAATGGATTGACATTGCCAATAAAAAACATTTTGAACGGTTGGGTTACTTTTGAAACATTTGAAGAAACTGTAAATAGATAAAAAATAAAATGAAAATGTAATTTATAAATTTTTTGCAAAGATAAAGGACAAAATACATTTGCAGTTACATATTTACAAGGTCACGTATATTTAATTAGAACAAGGGAAACACAATAAATCTAGTTGTGTTACTTTTGACCCTCCTGTGTGTTTTTCTGAAAAATGGTACTTTGGCCCCTGCTCTCCCCTACTTTACTCCATTGAGTTGGTATATTAACAAATAAGAAAGGCAGAGTTAATCAGATTTTTCTATAAAATGCTGACATCACTATGGCATCATCATGATTATTTTCTCTGACATGACAAGCTCCTCAATAGAGAAAGACATTAAACAGACCCAAAATAAAAACAAGACAGTACAACATTATGACACAACTCATAATTTTAATAATCATTAACAAGTATAGGTATGGATTTACACTCTGTTCATAACTTTGTTTTTGTTTGTGTTATGTCATTTGTACATATTCTGTGCGTGCAAGGCAAATATAAACATGAAGGTAGAAAATAAATTCTCCCTCAGCATGAGATGGAGGTTCAGGTCGCTGACAGCACAAGGAGCTGAACTTCCAAAAACACACCATTCCCCACAACCACCCTGAGAGTTTGAGAGACTTAACACTCATGTTGTCATCTCAAACAATATCTGATCATATACTGGTCTTTTATAGGGATTGTATCTGGTCCTCCTGTGATATGATGGATATGGTAATTACGCATAATTATACATGATTGTCAAATGGAATGACTGAACCTGAATTGATTTGAATTCTGTGATTCCACAGAAATATGCAGAAACATGTATCGCTTTAGTGTCCCATGCATTAATCTGAAGATTCTAAAAGGCTTTACATGAGAACATCTTAACAAGCAATAGAAACAGAAAGGGACATTTTCCCACATTGATGGGATTGGACTTGTTAGAAAAAGAAAGGAAAACAATTTGACATCATTTTCAATGTAAAAAAAACTATAAGAAAATAACCAGAAAGAAAAAAAACTATTTTGTTTAATTGTAAATGTTTTTTAAGATGCTGGGAACCACCTCTAGAAACATCAAATTAAGGCAAAAATTTAAGATTTATGTACTGTAGCTTAATCTTAGCCCATTTCCAAACCTCCTACTTGCCGCCCACATTTATAATTCTGCTGAGTGAGTGGTCTGCTGCTGTTCCCCTGATTGATCTTTCCCTGTTGGAAAGACAAGTTTCTAACAAGTTTCTGATGTAAACTGCAGGACCACTGTAGTAATGGTAACTAGTTAAATGAACATGCCTGACATGAAACAAATTATTTTGTTTGACATGAACACTTTCAGTCAAGCCTGTCTTGACTGAAAAATGGCACTGAGTTGATAGATGTCACAGGAATTGATTTGGGGCTAAAAACCTACCTCCCAAACAACTAACAGAGGCCAGTGTCAGACTGGCAACTCAATCTGAATATCAGGCTAATGACAAAAATATAAACAGAGGATTAAGAGTGGATTAAAAGATTAACACATCATGCAATCAAAGTTTGATTGATTAGGATTTAAACATTTACCAAGAATCCCCAATTAAAAAATGAATGGGAGCAAATGAGCTTAATGTGTCTTTACGTAAATGAATCACTTAAATCTAAGCCACAATAAAATTGTCAATGTAGTTAAAGAGGCATTTTTCCTAAAACCTTGTCATCTTTTGGAAGGAGACAGCAAAGTAAAAAAGATTAGAATTTTCTAGCCATAAACTACATCATGGGCCTTGAAAACCCTTTATCAAATCATAATAACATGTACGTATGAGCAGGTGATGCAAATGTGTCTTTGACATGATGTGTCACAACGTGTTGATGAACTACACTCACAAGCATGAGCCATGAGCCATTTGTGTGTACAATAAAGATTTCACAACCACCCAGCTGATGCAAGCTTTGTCCCATTTCAGACTCAGCCTCAGTCTTAAAAGTGTGTTCAGAATGAAGGCAGAGTGAACTTTAGAAGCGGCATGGTTGCATATTACTCAATGCAAAGATGCCAAGTGGGTGCAGATTTCCCTTGGATGGTGCAAACTGAGGCCGAGAGTTAAATGTAAAAGTTTAAACATGTTTAAAGTTTTAACAAAAATTAAACGGTGAGCAAAACAGAACAACATGATGTTCTTGGTCATTTTTGACATCAGTCAGAGGACGAGCTGCCAACGCACACAGACACACAGCCAGTGCTTATTTCCAAACTAGCTATAGCTAACATCTGTACATTTGCTGTTTGGGGCTCACACAAACTAAAACAGATGGTGTGAAGAGGCCTCATCAACTCATTTAAAAACAAAGTAAAGTGTTAAAGTAAAGTAAAACAAATCAAGTTTATTTTCATTATGTTGCCCTCTGGCTAACAGATGAAGTTTGTCCTGGGTACGTTATTTGCATGAATCTGATCACTGGACCATTATTGCAGTTTGTGCTTATTCACCTCAAACAATCAATACCAACTGCACAGACGTTAGCTCTAAACTAGCAATAAAAATATGCACCAACCCTGTGCAAATGTACTAAGTTACATTTGGCTCTCAGGCTTTCAAAGAGAACATCCCTGACATGGGACATGGCAGCTGTTTTCTACAGGAGGGTACAACATTCTACTCCCAATTCCTGATCTCAGTGATGTCACAGACCCTACCCTCCTGTCTCTCCCAGGTGTGTCTCAGGTAAGAGGGGGCTCAGTTCTTTGGTCTGCTGGCTCTGACCTCATTGTGTGCTGTTGAGAGCCCGTTTCTCCTCTCTCCTGTGTGCTGTTTCTCAGATCCACTGTGGCTGTTAATGTGCCAGGGCTGCCCTCCTTGTGGGACAAAGATTGTACTTGGGGGGTTTCCAGGGATTCAGATGCAGCTGGAATTGTGCTGGGGGTCTTTTCTTGGGGTGGAGGGGATACCAGCAGATTTTCTAGAGGTTGGGGAAATGCTGGGGCTGTGCTGGGGCTCTTTTTCTGGGATTTGGGGGTTAAAGGAGGTTTTTCCATGGTTTCAGTCAGAGCTGGAGGCCTTTCCAGGATGGACGGAGCTTTGTTGAGGGCTGCTGCTGGACTGAAGAGTTGGGGTGCTGATGCTTCTTGTTGAGCCTGAGCTGCAGAGGAGGGACACCCAGAGTATGGGGATTCCTCCTGTCCCGGAGGGGGGTGCATGGAGTCAGCTACCATCCCTCCACAGCCAGTCCTTTGTCCCTCTGCCTTCAGTTCCTCTTTCTGGACAGCCTCCTTCTTTTCTTCAGCTGTCTGTTTCCCTGTGTCACTGGCTGGGTAGATGAAGAACATATAGACAGGGGCAAGAAAATGTTTAGATCACAGATGGAAAGAAAAACAATGAATCAAAGAATAAGAAAACTAGAATGTAAGTTATGAGCATGACTGATGAACACCGGCCTTACCCACGGCTCTTTGTGCTTTCTCCCCACTAGATGGATATTCAATGCAGGTGGGCAGGTCCCCTCTGTTGCCACGGAAACGGATGGGCGACCTCTGTAACACTGCCTTCAGCTCTGAGACAGATGGAGTGAGAGAGGGAGGGGCTTGAGACTTATTTGAGACCAATAGCTCATCTTTATTCACTGTGTGAAAATAAACTAAATGCCAGCCATACATTAGAAGATACACTCTGACACATATGAGGGTATGCACGTGACGTCATAGTACACAGACGTCACTGCAGTTATGCTCACTGTGACAGTGGGGTTTGTTTTGTTTTCCTGTTTTTTCCCTCTCCTTGTATTGTGTGGGCATGCTTGTGTGAGTGTGTTTTGGGTGTGGCTTGGAGATGATCACCTAGTGGAGCGACACACCTGGTGGCAGTCCTCATCAGCGCCTGGCTTCAAGATGTGGGCCTTCCTTATTTCACACCTTCACATGATTGACAACCTCTTGCCAACTACGTTTTCTTTTCTCAAGATCTCTGCTCCTTGTGTGTTTTTGTGCTACCCGGAGGATATCTCTTGGAGCGCCAGCTGCTTCAGCTCAAGACTGCCTGCCCATGCTCAATCTGAATCAAAGAATAGACTCTCCACCTTGCACCATCTCCAGTCCATTCTTTGTGTATAAAACCCCTAAACCAGGGCTGAGTCAGCGCTGACAAAATGTAGCTAAATCTTTATTTCAGTGGAAACGGTGGTGCCTTGAACACACTGTTCTGTATGCAATGATTGTGTACACAACAGCACAATGATATTTTTACTGCCTTTAACACAGCTGTGTTGTGGCAGATTGGTTAACATCTCTTACATGCCCACAAATGGGAGAAAAACTCGAAGCCCGTTGCGCAACGCACAACTTTTTGAGGAAACATTTTGTTCAATCAGAAAACGTTGCAAACCAGTGCAAAACGTTGTGAGACTGAACTCTCCCCTGAACTTGCATTGAGTATTCTGTGTCCGCACCGTGGTCCACTTCCTTACTCTAACATTTAACACCCTGCCCGATTTTTCACCTCTGCTCAAAAAATTACAAAAACTGTCAGACACTGCCCTCTAATTCCACCGTCAACAAGGTGTGGCGGTGGTTTTGGATGCTGTCGCATGATCTGACAAGCCCTTGAGGTGAAGCATACTGACGCCTTAAGCCTCTGCTTCAGATAGAGGCTTTCATGGATATTTTTGCAGCTCTGTTTAGCTGTAATCATGTATGTATTACCATTCATTTCCTCCAGCAAAGCTGTGATACAACAAAATAGTTTCTTACTGTCCCTGATGTCATGTGAAAACTACAGCTGAGCAGTGGCCCATTGTTAGCCTAAGCAAAAGTAATTAAAAATAAGTATAAATAAGTATTATTTATATTTAACAAGAGGTCTGTGTGGTTTATGGTACTCACTCTGAGGTTGTTTTTATTTCTTACCTTACTGTTATTGCTTTTGGTATTCAATGCTACTGGTATTTAGTATTTTTATGTCTTCATTAAACACTCCATTGTCAAGTCTCACCTTGTGTCATGGCCAAAGCGTCCTCGTGGACAGACACAGCTCTGCGCTGTGGCAGGGGCTTCATGTGTTGGCGTGGCTTAGGAAGACTCTCTAAGTACACAAAAGCACACACACACAGGCTTTGAATCAACTTTTTGAATCTTCAGATATGGTTACAAGTAAATCTATCTACCGTACACACTGAAGAGAGTGAACAAGAGGGACCGTCAGGCAGAGAACGGGTCCCTGAAATGATGGATCATATACTTTTAAGATCATATTATAATATTATTGGGAATAATGTTATGTGAATGTACATTTAAATGTTACACTTAAATGTAACCAAACCTAACTGAATTCAACCTTAAATAGGTTCTATCCATCCTTACATTTTCGTTTCTTCCGATGTAGTTTTACAGCATTTCACACCTTGATTCATGTGATTCTGAAGACTCTCGCATGGTGCCCATGTGACTCAGATGTGACTGTGATGATACTAAATGCGTGTGGCTGTTAGCATGAGGAAGGTGCAGACTACCACGAGCCTCCTCTCAAACACAAAGCGTCAACAGCTGCCTCTTTTCAGCTGACAGTTTCCCACAAATCCTCCCACTATAAACACACCACACTGACTGGACCATATTTATTTCTCATAAAAGCTCATGACCTAATATATCAGCCCAACCCTAATTTGGATGAATTATTTGGTTTTATTGAGATCAGCTGGACGTACCTTCGGTCACTGATTGTGCTTTCTCAGAGCGATCCTGTATGCTGGGACCCCTCCATGGAGATGGGGATGGATGAAGCAGCTCTTTCCTGGGAGACAGTGCTATGGCTGCACACCGGGGACCCTCCTGGCGTCCATTCTAAGGAGATCAGAGAGATCAGAGGGTGCTCAGTGGGACGTGTTGTAAACAATATGACTGCTATAGTATTATATGTTATAAATAGGCAGTAGATTGTGGTGATATTCAACAAGAGGTGTGAGAGGTGTTTCTAATATTTAGTCCACCCTCATTGATACATGGGGTGGAAAGTAATGTTAGAATTTAATACCTAGGTTTACTTAATAAACATGATAACATTTCAAGATTGGAGGAAACAAAAGTACTCATTGTCTCCCACGACTGGAACAGCAGTTAGAACAGTATAAGACAGTAAAACTCTCAGTGAAAGTGAAATAGACAAACTAAAACATTGTTTATCAGAAACAATATTAGTAGTTCCCAAGCTGTGCAACAGAGGGCTTCAGTCTGTGTATTGTACCACTGAGAACTGCATAACCCTACTGTAAATATCTATCGAATATCATTATCTGATCTGGTGAGTTTTTATTAAAGAGGTCATACCACGCTTATTTTATTTAGGGGCTGTACCAGAACAGGTTTAAATGGTTTCATTTTAAAAAAAATTTTGTCGTACTGCACATTGCTGCAGCTCCTCTTTTCACCCTGTGTGTTGAACTCTCCGTTTTAGCTACCAAGTGAAGCGTCTCACTTCTGTTTGATCTTTGTTGGGTGTTGCACGTGCGCAGTACATAGTTTAAGACTACTAGCCAATCAGAAGCAGAGTAGGGCCGGTCCTGACAAGCAAGGTAAGTTCAGCTGGTAACTGTGGCTTCCATTTAGCCGTACTTGATCTCGAACCAGCTTCGCAACCTAGACTGGAGCAAGACGTTTCAGAGTGGTAAGTTATTAATTTGTAACAATTGTATCTTTCATACATAACGTTTTACTAGTGCACTGGTGTGTATAGTTTGGTAGGAATGGTGGGGGTGAGGGGAAGCAGTGGATGGATGTCTTGTCACTGTGGGTGCTGCAGCTCAGTGTGTTTCTCCACTAGTGTTTTTGAGGGCGTGCCTGACTAGCTGCTAGGCGAGCATTATGCCCCCTGTTACATAGTGATGCAGATAGGTTACAGAATTAAAGGCTGGACTACAAACGAGGTGGACTTTGTCTCCCCTATATTAAATTATGCTTCAGATATGGTTTGAAAGAATCTAAAATAGCAGAATCTATACAGAATACAGCTTCATGATGGTTTTTAGGTGTTGCTCCTACATTGGCTGTTCAGGGTGAATTCATTTTTCTTTGTTTTAAATTTATCTTAATATTTCTCTTATTTCTCTTTTATGTGTCTGATTATATTTGTATTCATTTATTTATAATTCTCATTTAATTTTCTTAGTTTATCTTATCTAATAACTTTGCAACGCAGACTCTTTTATTACTGTTGTAACATGGGTATGCTGGTATTTTAACACAGTGTCAAGCACCTTGTATTGCTATTTTGTACCAAAGGCGCTAAACAAAGAAAGTCTGATTTATTGATTAATATGGGTTGGATTCCTAGATCAAGAAGGCAAAAATGTGGAATGATAACACTGTAGAATTGTTCGCTTAATATGCCATAACAAAGGGTCAATAAGTGCTGTTTCTAAAGAAGCTGATATGCGATATATGTATAGTAATAATTTATCATGCCGCATGAACACAATAAAAAGTTACCTGTGCTGGAGCCTCTCCTGGCTTGCAATCATGAGTGTGTGCTCTGAGCATGACTCTCTCTGCTGGGTTGCTAGAAGGAGGCGCAGAGGAGGGATGAGCTCCACCTCCTGCAGGAGCAGCCGGGGTAGGGAGGGGGGGCTTGGCTGCGACAGCAGGTTTGGGTGGCAGGGAGCCAATAGGGCGCTCGGGGAGGGCTGGCTTCGGATGAAGGAGAGGATCCAGTGGGATGGTGTCCTGTGCTCTCATAGGATGCCTGGGATCTGCTGGAAACAGAAGGTGAACAGAGGTTCTGAGACAGTAAATCACTAGTGACAATCACTGTGAGAGATGCAGGTTGGTGACTCCACTGATGACTCCTGGATGGACAGATGTTCATACAGATGTAGACTAAAACACAGAAAGGATGGCAGCGCATCACAGGCCCAGAGACATCAGAATGTTTGTGGTACACCAAGCAGGAACCTCCAGGTCTGAAAAGTGAATCCAGCAGGGGGCGACTCCACTGTTTGCCAAAAGAACTCAATGGTCTCGTAGTTCTAGGTCTAGGTTGCTAGGTCCTCTTCAACACAGCATGAGGTTCATTTAGTAAATCATTCCCATTTAGAGGAAAATAGATCATTAAGCAGGGGATACTTTAGGACTACCTTGTGAGTGACAAGTCGCGACCATGGCAACCTATTAATAAGGATAGAGGCAGTGCAGTACAATAGTTTTTGGACAACAATGGAGCTCTATGCCACATTGGAATAAAATCAGGCTGTGATAAACACACAATACATGTCATTTCATCATGAAATGGGGATAGATAACATGATACCTGATGAAGTGGACATGGTTCTGGGCTTCATGTATGTGGGAGGTGGTTCAGGTTTGTCCAGGATAGCACCTGAGGGACAGAGACAGCAGATATTAATACAGCTGAGACGCATTTTAGTCCAAGCTGTAAATGTGATGAGTACATGAACCTTGGGCTCAACTGAAAGCATTGTAATTAAGTTACACAGCTGTAAGTGGTAGGCCCCCAGACACATTTTCTTGATGATGACTTAGAAAGAAGACTGGAAAGAAGGCAAACTTTAAGGAATGTTCCTTAAATACAATAATCTCTAGTTTCATCTCAGAACACAGGACTGTGTGAAAAAGGACAGCCAGATTTGGGAAATTCCAGTACGAGTGTGAGCTGCAGTGAGATACATTAGAAAATATGTACACTGACCAAATGAAGACCAGCAGGACCTATTCAAACAGATTCAGGCCTACAGCGGTGATCTCTGTGAAGATTCTCAGTCATCCAGGTCATAGTTATCCAAAGAAGGTTAAAGTCAAGGGCAACTGGACTTGGTTGAAGATAATAGAAGACGTATTGACCCTCATTTAAAGGACTTCTTCAGTTCTGACTGACTGGCAGGGAAACTCAGCTATTTAACCTCAGTGAGGTCGATACCGCTGGTTCGTTAGTGTTCCTGGCTGTTACCGCTGATGTAACTACATCATTATGGTCGTTAGGACTACCCGAGGTAGACTGAACGAACATCGTTGGCATCCTTACCTGAGGCCAATAGGTTATATTTGTTGAGTTTCCCGGGAGGTGATGAAAGGACCGCCATGGGTTCACCGGTATCCCCGATTGTGGCGAACATCTACATAGAAGTGGAGAATAAAGCCCTCAACTCCTTCAGAGGAATAGCACCGAGCCACTGGTACAGATATGTGGACGACACCTGGGTCAAAATTAAAAGCCAGGAAGTGCAAACCTTCACAGAACACATCAACTCTGTGGACAGTAACATCAAGTTCACGCGAGAAGATGTTCACAACAACAGTTTGACCTTCCTGGACTGCGCTGTACACATTGAAGAGGACAGGAGCCTGCAGATTGGTGTTTACAGAAAACCCACACAAGCGCCCAAGCCAGAGAGAAGGAACAGAACCACCTGAAGGGGGCACTGTGGATACCCTAAATGGACCTTTGTGAAAACAGCCACAAGATCCAAGAAGAACAAAACTACAGGGGAGGAGGAAAAGAAGGTCAAACGCAACAACATTGTGATTCCATACGTGTCTGGAGTATCAGAGAAACTCAGGAGGATTTTTAACAAACACAACATCCCTGTGTTTTTTAAACCCAAGAACACACTAAGACAGATGCTGGTCCACCCCAAAGACTGCACACCCAAACACAAGAAAAGCAATCTAGTGTATGCGGTCCAATGCAGTGAGGAATGCACAGACCTGTATATTGGGGAGACTAAACAACCACTACACAAACGCATGGCTCAACACAGAAGGGCCAACTCCTCAGGTCAAGACTCTGCAGTCTACTTACATCTGAAGGACAGAGGACACTCGTTTGAGGACCACCAGGTGCACATTTTAGACAGAGAAGATGGATGGTTTGAAAGAGGTGTCAAGGAAGCATCTACACCAGGGTTGAGAAGCCGTCATTGAACAGAGGAGGGGGTCTACGCCACCACTTATCCCCTACTTACAATGCTGTCCTTTCATCACTTCCCAGGAAACTCAACAAACGTAACCTATTGGCCTCAGGTGAAGATACCAACGATGGTCGTTCAGTCTTGGCCACAGGTAGTCTTAACGACTGTAACGACTGTCGTCACAGCAACAAGGAACACTAACGAACCAGCGGTATCGATGACCCGGGCCAACGACCCCACTGAGGTTAAATAGCTGAGTTTCCCTGCCAGTCAGTCCTTTGGATGAGGGACGAAACATCTTCCAGTATCTTCAACCAAGTCCAGTTGCCCTTGTCTTTAACCTTCTTTGCTGCAAGTGTTGTCGTCAAACATTCAAACATGGTCATACGTCATTTCCAGGGTTAGTTTGGTTCCCACAAAGTCAGATTCATCCATTTACACAAGAAGATGCTCACATTACTTTGGCCAATCTCAACAAAAACATATTGTGAATCAATTATTTAATTTCTAAGATACATCCGGATATCAGGTTCTTTTCACTATGTTTTATGAAACAAATACCATCCACATCCCACATCCTATACTTTTTAACTTTATACTTTTTAATTTTAAGTGCTGATTGCTGAAGATTGTAAAATCCAATATGTTAAAACATAAAATAACTGATGTGGCTACGATAGACTTACACTTACCTTCAGAATTGGCCTTTCTCAACTCCTCGTCTTTATTCTACAACAGACACAATGGACAGCATTAAACTACAACATTTGATCGACAACCAAGCTAATTGCTGAAATCTGGGAACATGGCGATATCACTGCTACAAAGCCTGACAGGCCACACACAACTTGGAAAAAGACCATCAATTTATTTAGATTATATAAACAAGGCTATTTGAAGATAAAACTGAAAGTGAGTACACCACCTATTATGGTAACAATCCCTCTCATTACACAGGAATACTGTGTGCACACTACAGTATGTACAGTAGGTCAGCGGGCCTTCAAACTGTGATGGATGTTTACAACAGAAAGTTTGGGTATTCTTTCACCTTTGTTCCTCTTCCAAGCAAATTTGTGTAGCCTGTGTTTCCAACCTGATTCATATTTCTGACTTCTTTTTAGTGATGTCATTGTGTTGCCAGCTGTTGTATTATTGATAGGAATGATGAACTATGGAAAACTATGGAGAAAAAAAAGACCCATGTTGTAATAAAGCAGAATTATTCTTCAAGGTGTGAGGAGGCCCCTGGGCACAGTGTGTTTGGACTATTTTTATGTCATCTTAGTTCTGATAGTGAGTTAGTTAAAAATCGCCTTAATATCGGTGGATAAAAAACAATCGCTGATCATCCCTTCAACAGTTGATAGCCGATCTAATTGTACTATTGGCCAAACAGTCACACAACGTGTCAGTTTCACATGAAGTGCTAAATTTAGACACATGTTAAGGAACCTCCATGGACTTCAGGGTCAGCCCTGTTAATAATACAAATAAACGCAAACATCACTTTCTGAATTATCTTTATTAAATTAAAAGAAGCAAACCCATCTGGGTAGGCGGTGGCTCAGGAGGAAGAGCATTAATTGATCTAAACCGTGGGCCACACCCATCCTACCTGGCTCATCTTGGTGGAAGGTGGAGTTTTGGCCACGCCCATTCTGTGCAGCATCACCTGAATCCTCTGTTCAAAACTAGATGTGCTCTCAGATGCATGTTTCTAGAAGATGAAACATGAACATTTCGTAAATGTGTGTTCACACGCACAACACACATACAGTAAGCTGATATCTACCCATACCAGTCGCCAAACCGATAGATTCAATCACATTCATTGACAAATTTGATTCACTTACAGGTTCTTGGCTCTTGTTACATCTCTTATCTGTCAGCTCAAATTATGTATCCAAATTATGTATGTGGTTTGAAACAACAACAATTAAACTTTTCAGATTTGATAAAATGACAAATAGTGACATGGTAAATGTGTCTATTTATTTCAAAATATATATCTGTCCTAATGACCAGAGTTGTTTGGTACCAGAATGCACAAAACACAATATTTGTTCTCTACCCACAGTAGGCCTGTGTTTTTCTCACCCAAAGCACAGTTTAAAGTATAACATGAGCTGCAGTCACTATTTCACGCTTGTTCATTTGTCTGACAAGAGAAAGCAGAGAATACACAGTACAGGTGATCACACAGAAGCATATTAACTAATTGACGACTCTCTGACCCACTTCTAACCAGATATTGGTTGTGAAACATACAACAAACACTGAAAACACAACTGAAAAAAGCATGATGAAGAGATTTAGATATTTTTGTTGTTAAAGTGTTTCAATGTAGACAAAACCTTACAAAAATGACCTGGAAATGCCAGCATGGATCCACACAATTAGACCAGATAGTGTGACTGTAGCTTTAGTTCTGGTTTGATCTAAAGTGGTCTGGTTTGACCTGGATTTGTCATTTGTTAGCTACATAAAGAAGCATTTGACTCAGAGGGATTTATTTTTTATTTTTTTTTATTTTTTTTTTCATCCTGCATTTATGATATTCAGTTCAATTCAAAATATATGGCGCCAATTCATAACAAAAGTTATCTCATTGCACGTTTCATACAGAGCAGGTCTAGATATGTAAATGTTTAAATAAAATCTGGTATTCAAATGACTGACAAGTCTCAAATAATAGTTGTTACATGGCCAGAACGAACAATTAATGGCCAATCCTTAGTAAAGGCCTGCTGAAGAGAGGAAGTGAATGTCCAACACTATCATGGCTCACATGGCATGTTCATTATAACATACATTTCCATAGCACTAATTCCATCAGTACAACAACAACATCATGTCACACTCACTACTCTACTGTTTAGCACTTCAGACATGGAATATGTAACATTGCTGCTTTCATCTCTTAAGTGATGGCTGTTCAGCCATGACACAGGCTGCATCATTGATGGATTTTAAAACTTATTTTGTAGCTGAAGCCTTAATAAATGATCATTGTGAGTGTGAGGAACACTCACCCCTGCTTCTCTTATGAATACACTTTTATCAGTTAATGTCATTAGAGAGCAAATTTGGTACCTGTTTTATAACACACAAGCACTGACAGGATGTTAAGTTGCAACCCTCTTTAACTCTTATCAGGTCACATTCTGCATGTGAAGGGGAGAGACTATTGGTCAGATTATTACTGTGGTTGTCATGGGTTTTTAAACTCTTTTGCTCGAGAGGGCAGATATAATTTTTATCTGATCTGAGAATAATCTTCTCAACAACTTAGGTGTGCAGTATGAATACATTGCTACATGGTTAGCATGGCCTTATATGGTTTTTGTTGTGGGAGGCACTCGCTGCCCCTGGTTATTGGCTCTCTCACAGTGTTTCCCAGAGACAAATGTATTACACTGATGATAGAAGGAAGAACTAAATTCACATTTATCTCTCTCTCTCTCTCTTTGTTAAATCTGACCGCATTCTGTTCAAACTTGTGCTGTGGTACAGAAATATTATGAGGTGTGACCTAATGACCAGGGTACGCATGAGGAAGAATGACACCAACATGTTAAATTGCCATCAGGTTATTCTTACTTTTAAGGGGTGCATGCCTATAAGAGGCCTTTCATGTCTTCTACAGAAATACTGTTCTCAGTCATTAATAAATTCCATTGCTTCTACTTTGCTGTTTTTTATCTGTTGTTAAACTGTAGATACTGCCAGTGAAACTGGCCTTTTGTGTAAAACATCTAGGCAGGAATGCTGGAGAAGTTTAAATGAGTGAAGTTTAATTCTAAATGAAAGAAAGAGGCAAAGTTGAAATGACTATTAAAAAAATTGTCAATCACAAAAGTTTTTCAATTAAAATAAAAATTTTGATCAGCAGAGTAAAGAGTTCTATTGTTGTCGCTATTTATGAAAGTACTGCTGTGGAAATAGACATTGTGCTAAAGTTAATATGTGAGCCATCATTTCAATACTAGCTTTAACAGTCAGACTGAAATCTTCCTGGTAAAATTTACTCGCGTGGTGTGGCCAAAGCAGGTTGGACAGGAAACTAGTGTGGTTTGGGTTGTTTACATAAACTGTGAGAGGTAACATGGCTAACAACAAATGTCACGATCCTTGCACCCACTATAGTCAATCTGCACACTTCTTCATTGCTGCATGTATTATTTCACCATGTACACATGGAGAGCCTCACGATTTCACTTGTCTCAATTTCACTTGTTCTCTCCCTCTGTCTGCAACCTCATCCCATTATTGCATGTTACTAACACAACTTCTCCCCTTTCTGGTAGTCTTGTGCTTTCTCGTCCCTCTCCTCTCTCCTCCTATCACTTCCTGCAGGTTTTCTGGCTCTGGAGCTGTGGAGTCTGGATCTGTGGCTGCGGGTCACCTGCTGCCCCCGTGTTCCTGCTCGACACCCTCTACTGCAACGACTATTGTTACTAGTCCTATTGTTATTATTGTTATTATAATCATTAACATTACGATTATTATCATTAACACTACTATACATATCTATACTATTTTTCATTTAGTCTATAGCAACATCACCTTTACTGTCTGTACCTCTGTGTGTATATTGTGTAGGCTGCCTCCCTCTCTCTCTCTCTCTCTCTCCTTCACCCCCAACCGGTCGAGGCAGATGGCCGCCCACCCTGAGCCATGGTTCTGCTCGAGGTTTCTGCCTCTTAAAAGGAAGTTTTTCCTTGCCTCTGTCTCCTAGTGCTGCTCTTGGTGGGAACTGTTGGGCTTCTGTAAATAACATCACAGAGTACGGTCTAGACCTGCTCTTTTATGAAAAGCGCTGTGAGATAACTGTTGTTGTGATTTGGCGCTATATAAATAAAAATTGAATTGAATTGAATTGAATTCCATCAGACGTCAAGCTAAGCTCATTTAGCAGGTCAATTCATGACTCTAAGCTGTTTCGCCCCATTGTGCTTAGAAATGAATGGGAAGCTAATTTCAGTCTGACTACATGAAGAGCCAAATAAGTTTTACTTAAACATGGGAAATAAGAAATCAAGGTCTGTCTCTAATGTAAGGCCTGGTTCTCAGCAGTATTTATATGTAATTTACAGTGCTAGCCCAAAAAGGGTCGTCCCTTCTCCTATGAGTTGAGCTGACATCTGATCTGTGTTCGGTGTATTGTCAGACTGACCTTACTGTGTGTGTCATCCTTGTCTTCAGGCTCTAATCCCGTAAGCAGAATGAGACTCTGGCTCTTGCCCTCCCTTAAAGACCTCTTGGTCACATTGAGTCTCCTCTCTCCTAATGGAGTCCCTCCCAACTGCTCAGTTAGATGGGAGGTGACCACAGGACTTGGGATGCGACTTGGGATGCGACCTGGCAAGACCGGAAGTTCCTCTTCTTCCAGGTTGGAAAGCATAGCAGTAGTGAGGTCAGGGCTTGTGGCAATAGTGGGGTAAGAGGGAGCTGTCTCACTGGGAGGCATCACCGTGGTTAATGTCTTGGCAGGTCCCATCGTTCCTCTCGCATCGTCTGCAAGATGGTGGCTGGTGGCAACGGTTCCTTCTGTGGTGGCAGCATCATTACAAACGTTAACATCCTCCACTGATCTTGCCCCTCTCCCCTTCTCTCTCTCCTTGTCCCTGTCCCTCTCTCTCTCCCTTTCTTTGGCCTCACGGAGGGGTCGAATGAGGTCTGCAATGGAGGTCCTTTTAACCTTCACCCCCTCTCCTCCTCCTCCTCCTCCTCCCTCTCCCCCTCCTGCCTTGGCAGCTCTGCTGGCTCGAGCCCTCTTGAAGGCAAAGAAGTCGCCAAACTTTTTCTTGATGTTTTTGGTGGGAAGCGTGGTAGTGGTGGTGACAGAAGAAGGGGTGGGGGGAGTAGAGGAAGTAGAGAGGGGTGCAACATCAGTGGTAGTAAAGGATGTATCAGTAGATGAGACAGAGAGAGAGGTGACGGTGGTGGTAGAGGATGTGATATTGTCAGATGAAGAGGAAAAGGGGGTTGAGGCTGAGGGGGTGAAGCTTGACTCTGAGGGAGTGGCTTGGGCAGGGTTTGACTCCTCCCACTGGCCTTTTCTGCAGCAGGGAGACAGCAGAAAGAGCAACAGACAAGAAGAGACACTCAGTACTACAACTACTGCTACAGGACTCAAGACACATGCTCAATTCAGGTACACAACAAGAAAGGTCATGCAAACAGAAGACAGAGCAAAAACATCTCTCAGTGATTCCTACTTTCTGCTCTACTAGAGGCCAGAAAAGTTGGGCTGGATATTCATTGTCCCCTAATTATTTTGGTTACCCTGACTTTTTATCGAACATCACCGTCAGGTCAAAATGTCTGCTGACCAACTAGAAGTACCTCAGAAATGAATGGCTGGAGATTTAAATAAAAATGCCTTGGTTGAACTGGAATATTACTAATAATTCCATCACAACGCAAAAATGTAAACTCTGTATACACCTCTTAATCTAAAAGCAGAGCTCATTCAGCCAAGTGATCCTTTTGATTTCAATGATTCATGCAGTGACATGCACAGACTTTCTAACACCCCGTCTACAGAATCCATGTTTTTGTAGTCTACTGTAACAGCATTGGGTTGTGAGGTGATTCTGCCATAACACACATAAATCCATCCATGAAGGGAACAGATATTTCATTGCAACCACTGCTGCTGCCTACACTGGTTGGGGGAGGAACAGTTTTTAGGCTTCAAATCTATTTTCTCCACTTACAGACAGAACAACAGGATTGTGTATTGGGCTGTGAACTCCAGTTCTGTGGATGAACAGCTGCGGTGGACAGCAGCTGCTGATGTGATGCTTCTGCTACATGACTGATGACGACAAAGGTCACTGGACATGGTTCTATAATTGAATATTGAATGTTCCCACTCCCCACTACACAGACATGGGAAGTATAATTAGAGTTTAGGCTATCATCATATAGGCTAAACTATAGGTTTGAACCAGGGGCCTCATTACAGAAAGAATTCCTGCTTGTCCTATCTTAAATAAAGTTTTACAGAAGCAGTTCTTAACTCATGGCTGTGTCCTGTCCTATCTCAGACCTTGTATCTTATCTTAATTTAAATAATCCTAAATAGAACTGCAAACCAGATTCGTCAATCGGCACTGATCCTGTCATGCCAGTATCTGTGTTCAGAATGTACATGAGACTGCCTGTATCCATGACAATGGCTGTCTTCACTTGTCACTGGTTAGCGAGCTTGCTATAATGGACAAGAAAAGACAGGCATTCAGTTTTAGCGATGAGTCAAAGCATTAATCGTGTCGGCCCAGGATAAAGATTTGAACAGATGGCAAAATCAGACAGAAAAATCCTAAATGTGATCCTAAACTGAGATAAGAAAGTATTTCAGAAGTTTCTGTAATGAGGCTCCTGATGGCTGGTAAACCTGAAATAATGATCACAAGAGATGGTTACCATCCCCTCAATAACCACCTGCTAACACATGATCACAGTCACACTAATGTCATCAGTTATAACGCTTGAACCAGTTACATTCACAGATGGAGAAATTATTTTATCACACACCAAGCTAACTGCTCCTAGCCGTCACTAACACAGCTTTGGTGCTGACTTAAATTTAAGTGGATGGTTACATCAGTCACAGCAATTATGGCAAAATAATGCACTTCCAAACAGAAACCACAAACAACGTCAGACTGACTGAGTGATTACAAAATGGCATTTCATTCTTAATATCGGGCTAAACATTTACAACCATCTTTATCAGATTGTGTTCAGTGAAATGACAGAGCAAACTCAGGCACACAGGATTTGTTGAATACAGTTTGTGTTACAAAAAAACATTCACCATGCAGTCTACACATACAGCTACACGGCTGAAATAACAGTACTCTCTTATCTAAGCAGCATTTATCAGGAGTGTTTGTACTTTGTTTTCTTGAAAATGCAAAAAAACAAAACAGCATATAACGGTAGAAGCTCTCTGTTTACTTACCAATTACAGTAAATAGTCAATAATTTAGAGCATCAAGAATGGGACAAAGAACAATTTATCATCAAAAGGTGTGGAAGTTGGTCCCAAGCGAGAGCTGCCTGTTCTCACACTATTCTAGTGTATAACTCCTGCCAACTCTGTCAGTGTTTGTGTGGGGTTTAACTTTTTTGTGTGTTATAGTCACGTTAATAAATGTGATGCATGTAACTATAAAGGTGGTAGTACACTAGAAATTAAATCAAAGCGGGTCTGTTCACAGAGTATAGGCTTTGATCTCCACAGTGTGAACACGCTCAACATTCCGGCTTGTCAAAATATTGTGTCAGTGACACGATGTGCATACAGTACAAACCACACTTAATATACAAGCTGCCTCCATAGAATACATTTTAAACTTGTTGGAACAGCATGTGTATTTTTAAAAATTTGTTTGCAACCACCTGTTTTCCAAAAGTTACTTTAAAGGAGCACTCCAGTGATTTAGTATTGCACTTTCATAAATTTGGGGATTCTGTTTGTAATGCAGGCCTTTTGCTCCCCCAGAGAAGACATTATACAACTGTTTTCACAGATTGAATAGCACTTCTCATGACAAGTAAACTGAGCTGACATGTTAATTCAGTGGACTGCCCCTTCAACCATTCTGTAGTTGCTGTACACTCATTTAGAAGTGATTAAACAATGTTGGTAGGAAATGTTCAAAAAAGATTTTTTAAAGATAATCAAAAGTTTTGCAGACTCCTCTAATTTCAACATTGTGTTTGGTGAGTTGAATGTGGAAACAAACACCCTCATGAGACAGATGTGTGATGTTTAAAGAAGGTAAAACACACGAGATATTTCCTTCATTCATTGTTTTTTTGCTACACAGCTTTTCACAGCTGTCCACTTCACAGCTAAACTCTGCTAACTGATCCAGTTATACATGGACTTCTGTGGACCTATATGGGTACCGCAGATACTATTTCCATCCTTTTCATTAACAAGTAAACAAGTATGTGCTACTTGGGCTTTACTCCCCTCTGCTTCTGAATGTGCATTTGTTTTTTACTGTCATCTGAATGTAACTTTAATGCTGTGTGATCCTACTTATTTGTTAATTATGTGAAAAAAAAACAACAACAAAACATATGAGCTGGAGTAGCTAGGTTATGCAGGTAATGGGAGAACTCGTGTACCATAGTGCTGACTGATAAATCATATTTTCACTGTCATCGCAATATGAACATGCATGATTTTATTTAGGGATAGGCACTCTTCATAAGTTTCTTCCACTTTTCATTAAAATAAATACCATAAACTGTATATGCTCTGCCTGGGTGTCCTGCATTTCGGGTCCAATCCCTTTATTCCTGAGTCAGCACATGTGGTGACACTATTTTTTTTTCGGTGTGTGTCTGTGTCAGAGTTATCATACCACCCACAGCTCTCTGGAAAACTGTGTACACCTGGTCTGAAGTCTGCATGAGGTGTGCGCATTCTCACTGCACATTCTTCTTTTAGAAATACCAGTTTGTGTCAGGGAAATGGTGTGTCCTCTAGTGGTCCCCTTATGCCTCGATATCATGTGAGAGTAGACTAAATACCAAAAAATTTAAGAAAACACCACAGCATCCCTTCATGGCACCCCCAATATAACATGCATATATGTACACAGATAAAACAAACAAACAAACAAACCAAAAAAGGTTGCAAGCATTTTAATGGGACATTAAGCCACCTCAGACTATGTCGAGGGCTGAGATGTATTAGCATTTCTTTGTCAAATCTCTCCATCACTGCTCTGTCACTATTTTTCTGACTGCTGAGCTGAAAACGTTGTTGACAACTCACAACTGTGAGTTGTCATGTCATGAGCTGCACCTTAACTGGATATTAGAGTTGTTGATATAGTGATTTTGTGTGTGCATGTATAAGTTCAACTCACAGTGCATAGTCAGGGATGATTTTCTTGGTGAAGAACTCCTCTACTCCTTCATCCACTCTGCCCATCCCCTCACTGGTCTCAATGTCTACCTTTGAATCTGGCTCCTGTAACAGAAAACCCAAAAATATAACATACAGTGTGTACACATTACATTGTGTGTGTGTGTGTGTGTGTCTATGCATGTTTATTTGCCATTTGGAAGAGAAAGAAAATACACACAGTCCAATATTCCTGGTTTTTCTTTGAAGTGGTTCATTAAACAATCTGTCTTCAAATGTAAAAACCAGCAAAAAAAAGGTCAAGGTATTTTTGACTTTTGACATGTATTATTAGTGTGAAACTGGTTTGTTTTAAGATATCCTTATCCTAATCTTTACAAATGTCACAGGATAAACATACCCTGAACGTTACATTCTAATCAACCACTAGGGGGTGCTACAAATGCAAACAATGGGCATGGCATCCTACCACTATAATTGGAAAGCGGTTTGTGTGTTTTGTGTTTGTCTGTCCCACCATTCCTGTCACCCACATTCCTCCATCCCATCCAAACATGCCCCAAACAAAAGATCAGGGAGCCGGCCTTTGCATATGGTGTTTGTTATTAGTGTTTTTTAACATGCGCAGCTCAAACCACAGATAAACTGTAAGCTTGGTTTGGTGGGTGGACACTGTAAATATTTCACTCTGGGAAACTGTTTAATCCAGTAGGTGGCGGTAATGCAACATTTATGAATGCCAACCATCATAAAACACCAAAGAAGAAGAAGCTTTGTTAATTCCCAGTGAATCTAAGTTTAGGGAAACTAGCGACTAATAACGTTCGGAGGCTACATCATGGAAGAAGATCTGTGTGAAGATGGGGGCCAGCTGGTCCGCACAGATTTCCAGGCAGGATGGAGACACACCGTCTGGGTCAGGAGCCTTCCTGATCTTCTGCCTCTGGAAGAGCACAACCTCTTCACAGATCTTGAGTGCAGGTGAGGGTTCAGAGAGGGGGGGTCACAGCTTCTCAGAGGGGGAAGGTGACTGTTTGAAGATGGTGTTGGAGCGGGGGAGAGGTGTGACTGTGGGCTTTTCAAACCTACAATAAAAGCCATTCAGCTTGTCTGCCAGTCGTTGAGTACCAGCAGTGTTGGGGGATGGTCTTTTGTAGTTTGAGTGTCCGTAGGCTTCTCCACACTGACGCAGGATCGTTGGCTGCAAAGCTGTTATTTAGCTTTTCAGCATAGCACCTCTTTGCAGCTTTGACCTCTTTAGTCATTGTGTTCCTGGTCTGGTTGTACAAGACTCTGTCCCCACTTCTGAAGGCCTCTTCCTTGGTCTGACGAAGCTGCCTGAGTTTCGCTGTGAACCAGGGTTTTTGGTGGTTGTATGTGCGGAAGGTTTTAGTCGGCACACACATGTCCTCACAAAAACTGATGTAAGATGTCACAGTGTCAGTTAGTTCGTCCAGGTCAGTGGCTGCAGCCTCAAAAACACTCCAGTCAGTGCAGTCAAAGCAGGCCTGTAAATCCAGCTTTGACTCGTTGGTCCATCTTTTCACAGTCTTTACAACAGGTTTAGCAGATTTCAGTTTTTGCCTGTGTGTCAGGATAAGATGAACCAGACAGTGATCAGAGAGTCCCAAGGCTGCACGGGGAACAGAGCGATAGGCGTCCTTTAATGTTGTGTAGCAGTGGTCCAGTGTGTTAGTGTGCCTGGTGGGACACTGAATATGCTGTCTGTACTTTTGAAGTTCATGGCTGAGGTTTGCTCTGTGTAAGTTCCCGAGGAAAATGAGCAGGGAGTCTGGATGTGCCGTGTCTCCACGTTGGTGTAGTAACACCTCAGGTGGCCTGAGGTGGAATGTAAACTGCAACCAGGACAAATGAGGAAAACTCCCGCAGTGAGTAAAAAGGTTTACAGTTTATGAATAATGTCTCTAAGTGAGGGCTGCATGATTTCTTCAACAGTGTGACATCTGTGCACCAACCTTCGTTTATGTAGAGACAGAGTCCGCCTCCCCTTGTTTTTCCTGTGAGCTCTGTTAGCTAAGCAGCAAATGTGAGCAGTTGAAAGACAGATGTTTAAGAGCTCTCCTCTGGTAAAAGTTACCAGAGAGGGATGGCAGAAAACAGAGTTAATAAACAAAAACACAAAAACATTGCGGAGCGTAATCCCGAGGCTGCTATCCTCCGCGGCGCCATCTTTTACTTTTAATATGGCAAACAAGAGAGGAGAAACCGCACACCCCTGCCCGCAGCCCCGCTGAAGAGAAAATGGAGCAGAAAGGCTCCCATTTACTTTTGATCTGGCTATTGGATTTTCATATAATGTTTGAATTATTTTGATAAAATCTTCATGGAAGCCAAAACCACATAGAACTTTATATAAAAAAAAATTGTTGAATTTTCTCCTGTTTTGTACTCAAGCTCATTAGTCTCAGGATTTCTTTTTTATTTTATAGAGGGAGCTGTTGGCCTGTTTTTATCTTTCATTTATAGGCTAATTATGATGCTTTGACTCCAGCTTCCAAATATTTTTGTTTAAGGAACATAAGTTTCTTTTGTATTTCCTGCGTGTACATTCAATCAGTCACTTTCTTGATTTTGCTGATTCGTTTTTGTAGTTGCTTTAATTCTAACTGTAGTGTTCTTAATTTTCCCTGTTTCAGTTTTTTTAATCGGGCTGTACGTGCAATGATGTTGCCCCTCATGACTGCCTTGAGTGCATCCCATAGGATGGGGAGCCCCACCTCCCCTGTATCATTTAGGTCCAGATATACTAGAATTTCCTTCACTAATGCGTCTTTGGTTTGTGGTTACTTATACTTGAATTTAGCCTCCACAGTGTTTGTCTCGATGTTTGATTCAAATTGACAGTAAGATAAATCGGGCCGTGATCTGAGATATCAATATTCCCTATGTCACAATAAATAACCCTAATAATTCTATTGAAGTCTGTACTAAACATTAGGAAGTAGTCTATCTGTGTATAAACAGTGTTGAGTGTTGATGAGAAAAGTGAGTATAGTCAAGGTCTGTTGGGTAGAGCTCCCTCCACACATCAATAATAGCATTCATAATAGTCTTTATATTTTTACGTGTCCTAATTTGTCTAGAAGTTGGTCTTGATGAGTCGAGTTTGTCATTTAGATGTTGAGATCACCGCCACATAAAATTCCTTCAGCCTCTGAGGCCATGATGTCAAAACCTTCTTTATAAAAATCCCATTCACTGTTGCGTGCATATATATTTAGCAAAGCATAGTACCTTCCAACTTCCCTTTTATCAATACATACCTCCCTTCACTATCTGTTTTTTCATAAATATGTTCATAAGTGAGGGTATTGCTTATTAAAATTGCAACCCCTCTCTTGTTGCCAGATTTGTGTGACGATGAGCCCACATATTTGAATCCTGACCTTCCCAGTTTTATATGCTCAGTTTCACCCAGATGGGTTTCCTGCAAAAAAGCAATATGCTTTCTTTCTTCAACTTGGACAGTATCTTGCCCCTTTTATTGAGCTTGAGCTTTAGTGTTAGCGTCTCCAAGTTTACAAAGCTGGAAAGTTTGTCTTTGTGTCCTTAGTTTTCCTTTCCAAGGACTTTTTGTCTTTCAAGTTTCTGTTGTGGTGGCTCACTGTAACGGTGACAAGCAACTTCACGCCCCTCTTGAGTCAATAACTTTTAGAAGGATTGAGAAATGGGGTTCGGTTGGTTCGCTGCTTCACCGACAAGCTGTCACCATGTTGGAGTTTGCTGCTCAGTTTCATGGGGAGATTGTGTTGAATGCTGAGCTGAAATCCACAAACAGAATTCTGATGTAGGGCTGAGTGGAGGGTAGTGGAGATGGCATCCTCTGTGGATCTGTTGGTTCTGAAAGCAAACTGGTGAGGGTCCAGGCTGGCTGGGATGTTGTTCTTTATGTGCTGAAGAACCAGCTTCTCAAAGCACTTCATCAGAATGGGGGTGAGAGTTCAGACTAGACCCTGCAGACTTTTTAGGTACAGGAACGATGGTGGCTGTCTTGAAGCAGGTGGGAACCCTCTCCTGAGACTGTGAGATGTTAAAAATGTCAGTAACAACATCAACTAGCTGATCTTCTATCTTCGGTATATTGCCCAAGGACACTTTGACATGCAGGACGAGCGAACCACCAATCTCCTGATTAACAGGCAACCTGCTCTACCTCCTGAACCACAGCCTCCCCAGCAAGTTTACTCATACTCACATTCACATCTACTGCGAATACTAACAGTGGCCAGTCCTCTGGAGTTGGAGTAAACTTTACAGCTGACTCTTTGTTGAGGAGATCAAAGTGAGCGTAAAAGGTGTTTAGTTCATCTGGTACTGTGGCCTCACACATGATGGGGGAGCTCCTGCTTTTGTAGCCTCTGATGTTTTTGATGGCCTGCCACATGTCTTTGGTGGTGTTGGTGTTGAGGTCTCTCTCCAGTCTCTGCTGATGTCTCCGCTTTGCCTCCTTGATGCCAGCTTTCAGTCTCTATACGGTGCTGTGAGGGTTGGGTGGATTACTTTAAAAAAGTAATCCAGTACAATTGGTACTTACTTGTTAAAAAATGTAATCAGTAACATTATCCAAATACCGCAATATAAAAGTAATGTAACCCGATTACTTTTGGATTATTTCAATACCAAATAAGCAAATAAAGACAAGAGAATATCAAAGATGCGTTGTCTGCTCAGTCTATTTTTAGAGAAACATACAAGTATAAAAACTCCCATTCTCACGAAATCAAAATCAACGTTTAAATGTTTTTATGATATGCCTTGCACTATTTGTCACCAATATGCCAGTAACTGGCCCATCAATGACAAACAAAATGTTTTGTAAGTATTCTTAGTTAGTAAATTATTTCCTGGAAAAGTATTTTAAAATGCTGATGACTCATCCTGCACTCGGGGGCCTGTATTAATTGTGCCCAATGAAAAGCTTTCTCAATTTTTATGATGCTGCTGATGCAGAGGGTTTCTGGGACCAACTGGGCCCCACTGATTATTGTAAAAAAACACAACTTTATTTACTGATTGTGTTGAAACTGGATCATATTTGATGGAGAAAATGTTTTCTAGTTTTCTCTCTGATGTCCCCCTGTTGC